TTTTTCTCATTTTTGGGGCGGTTCCTCCTCATTTCGGGGTCTCCCCCACCTCGGGGGTCTCCCTCACTCGGGGGTCGCCCCCCCCCCAGGTTTCCGCCTCCGCCGGACCCTTCTCTTCGCCAGCTGGGACGGGGGCGAGTTCGGACACCTGGGGGCCACCGAGTGGCTGGAGGTGACCCCGTGACCCCCCCCGTGACCCCGCCGTGACCCCGTGACCCCGCCGTGACCCCGCCGTGACCCCTCCCCCAGGGCTACCCCGGCCTGCTGCACACCAAAGTCGCCGCCTACATCAGCCTGGACCGGGCCGTGCTGGGTGCGCCCCTCCCCCCCCGGCCCCTCCCCCTCCCCCGGCCCCTCCCCCACCCCCTGACCCCTCCCCCACCCCGCAGGCGCCGATCGCTTGGTGGTCCGGGCCAGCCCCACCCTGGGGACCCTGGTGGAGAGCGCGCTGGAGCAGGTGGGGGAGGGGAAAGGGGGGTGGGGGAGGGGCCGGGGGGTGGGGGAGGGGACGGGTGGGGGGAGGGGACAGGTATCACACCCCCCCCACCCCAAAAATTGCAGGTGGAGAGCCCGAACGAGGGCGGGAAGAGCCTCCTGGAGCAGCTGAGGCGGCCGGGGAGGGGCTGGGAGAGCGACCTGTGAGTGGGGGGCACCCGAAATACACCGGGGGGCACCCAAAATATACCTGGGGGCACCCGAAATACACCTGGGGCACCCAGAATACACCTGGGGGCACCCGAAATATACCTGGGGGCACCCAGAATACACCTGGGGGCACCCAGAATACACCTGGGGCACCCGAAATACACCTGGGGGCACCCAAAATATACCTGGGGGCACCCAGAATACACCTGGGGCACCCAAAATACACCTGGGGCACCCAAAATGCACCTGGGCACACCTGGGGGCACACCTGAGATCCACTGGGCACACCTGAGATCCACCTGAGCACACTTGGGCACACCTGGGCACACCTGGGGGCACACCTGGGCACACCTGGGGACACCTGGACACACCTGGGGGCACACCTGGGCACACCTGGGCACACCTGGGCACACCTGGGGACACCTGGACACACCTGGGGGCACCCAAAATACACCTGGGGACAACTGGGCACACCTGGGGGCACACCTGGGGGCACACCTGGGCACACCTGGGCACACCTGGGGACACCTGGGCACACCTGGGCACACCTGGGCACACCTGAGATCCACCTGGGCACACCTGGGCACACCTGGGCACACCTGTCCCCCCTGTCCCCCCTGTCCCCCGCAGGGTCCGGCCGCTCTCCCCCGAGGGCGGCGCCTTCCCCTTCACGGCGGCCGCCGGCGTCCCGGCCCTGGAGTTCAGCTTCGATGAGGTGCCACCCCAATGTCCCCAAAATGTCCCAAAAATGTCCCCAAA